GTGTGTGTGTGTGTGTGTGTGTGTGTGTGTGTGTGTTGTGTGTGTGTGTGTGTGTGCGTGTGCGTGTGCGTGTGCGTGTGTCTGTCTGTCTGCTCGATATTTTTGCAACCGTTAGAGGTAGAAACTTCAAACTTAGTCCAGAGGTGGACCTTAGGACTTGAGTGCCTTTCACGCAAGGTCAAGGGTCACGGATTCACATTTGATGAATGGATAGATAGATTAGATAGATAGATAGATAGATAGTACATTACACGCTCTTGATATAATCTCACAGCGCAGAATAGCAATGCTATGTCTAACAAGCATGCTGTGTGGTAAATATATAACAGTACAGCTGGGTATAACAGTCGGTCGGATCAGCGTATTTTAGAGTTAGTCTACTTAAAAAAACTACCAGCGTCTGTTTCCTCGCGAATTAAACGTCACCGAGCAGCAAGATATGTTTACCTAAGCCAGCGCTCGGCAGCCAGACATTACAGTAATGGAAAACACGAAAGTTGAGCCGCGCGCTCAAGGAATTGACTCCGTCCGTGGATCCCTCGCGATTTCTTCCTGGTCTGTAACGCGGACATGTGCACATCTGCACGTCGACTCCCTGTCATCGCTCACCACTTACGGATGAATGAACGGGCAATTTCGATAAAACTTGATAAACACACTCAGAAGACTCTGAAGTGGTCGACATAGTCGAGTACTGACTGGTTCACTATGGTATACCGAAATTCTTTTTTAGATATTGAAATTCAAATTCGTCGAATCGCTAGAAGCGTAGGGGCTCGTGGTCACTAAGACGTTCCCGAATACTTGAAATGTGAATTTGGAATGGAATCATAGTGATTTCCAAGCTTACAATTAATGGCATAGATTATATCGTACGCGCCGAGTCACTGGCGGAGATCAGAAATGGCAGGCATGCACGGATCATAAATCTATCAACTAGCCGCATTCGGCTGGCAAATTCTCGCTAATGCTGTAACCATGGTAATGGATAGCCCGAATGATCACGTGCCAGTGACTTGACACGGATCAGATATACATCCAGTGGTATCACACACAGATACTTCACTTATACATCGGCGTGCGATGGGTTCGAAGCGCAAATATACGAGATGCCGACACTATCATTTCCCACTATATCGTACACACACACGCGTGCAATCACTATAACAAACGTCCGACCATACGTCCGGCTTTGCTGCATTACATTCCCAGGGGACGCTTCCTCGCGCCACTGGAACTACCCCCGGTGATTTCCTATAGAGCATTCGAGCTAATAATGTATAGACTAGGGTAATCATTAACTCGGTCGTTATAGAATTAGGCGCACCGCTACGGACGCGCGCACGATATCGCTAAATCAATCAGTAATTGCTAGGGAGGATGTGCTGCCCGGGCGGGCGGGCAGCCTTCGCAGATCGATACCCGGACTCACTTATGGCATGCGCCCGCCCTCGACCAAGTTCGTGAAGCCAACATTTGCAGCGATTTCGGTCAGTGATTATAGTTCGAGTATCAAGACTGGATTACCGATACACCATTTTTTTTTATCGTTTGTCATGTATTGCCGTGCCCTGCCACGAAATCTCCAGCGAACGTCTAAAACGAATTACTATATAAATGCAAAAAAATACATAACTGCGGGCTGGATTTTTGACAATGAAATAGTCGTATATATCTGTATAACGCGAACATTTCGCCGGAGTTTTAGATATAAGCTTTTCTAGATTGGCATCACTTGGACTTCTTATCTAGACGAGCTGTAGATGTTCAAGTTGGAGAAACGCTGTGTGCCTATTTTACGCTTCAGAATACATCTTTAGCGCTATACCGAAAGTAACTATTATGATAATTTAATATATAATAGATGTGAGTGTAATAAGTTATTGTAATGTCTAATGTAATATAATTTTAATTTAATTTTGCTAAAATAATTTTAATTATATAATAATGGTTGTAATGATTATTGTAACGAATGTGTATAACAAATTATAGATGTGTTATATACACAATGTGTACAACATTGTATAATAAGTCCACACTTGTTAAAAGATAATAGATGAAGAAATATATGCGCAATACGTAAGCGGTGTATTATCGATATTGTAATGATGCGTGAATAAAAACTAACACACATATATATATAAAATAGATGTATAATTTACCGAGTAAAACGGACTGACATCTGTCGCCTGTTGTGCATTATGGTCGTGCCCTCTCAGATCGCTTGCCTGCGGCTGAACGACGTCACTGTTCACAGGTAGTGTGTTGTTCTCTTGTACATTACGTTCCGAACTGTCATCGTGTTGGCCATCTACCGCACTAGTTCGATGCGCTTCCGGGCTTTGTTTCCGTGTATTGACGTCATCGCTTTCGCGAACTACCCTTCCCGCATGCGGCGAAACTTGCGGTCCGGCTGCCGGCTGGACGTTGGCGGGCGTGAGGTCATCTTCGGATGTCGTCGATGACCGCTCAGTGGCTTGCTGCGATGCGGGAGAGGCTGGTTGGTCGTGCGTTGGTATCTGTAAGTCGGTACGCGTTGCCGGTCTGTGTTCTTCTTTCGAATGTTCTACATTGCTGACTGGTGACGAGCCTGAAACAATGAACTGAACCTAATTAATGGGTACATTGAACGCATGTTAACGTATCACTAAGTTAAATGATGAATCTAACGATAGTCATGGCTATATATAATAGCAAAAGCGTATACAGAAGGCTTCTTTCTTTATACCACCTTCTTTATACGCTCTTGATAATAGTGATAATACGGAGGATTATAAACGTTGGCCTTCCGGAATCAAGGTTAAAATATTTGCCGTTGGAACCACGTCTCGGTCATTTCTGATGTGTTCTTAATTGCGCACGGCAGATTATCCCCTTTTGCTTTTAAGCCGCTGAGCGAAATAGGCAAGTAAATTAGTCTGAACACGGCTGGCTCTAATGCAGTCCTAGCTGCTTCCCGCGTGTCCGTCACAACCGGAGCACGACTACGCTAACCTACGCTACTGAAACTGCTGAAAGTTCCTTATTGTATCGTGTGTATTGAATACAATTAAAATACGGTGCTTCGAGCATACGCGGTTAACCCCCCCCCCCCCACACCACCACCACCACCACCACCACACACACACACACACACACAACACACACTCTCTTCTCTCTAGTATGGTGGCCGAGATGGCTACGGATTATTTTTATTCCAAATTCTATTTTTATTTACTAAATTTTATTTACTATTACCTAAATTCTATTTCTTATTTTCTATTTACAAATTCTATTTTACTATTTTCTATTTACAAA